CGAGCCTCCCCAGCGCCTGCCCCTGTGGGACGCCCCCGATCGGGATCCAGATCCCCGCGTTTGAAAAGCGAGGCCGAAAGGCGCCGCCGTGCAAAGGCAACCGCCCAGGAGCTGTCTCCTCCTCGCGAGAACTAGTTGCATGAGAGTCACCTCTGCCAATGCGAGGGCTCACTAGGAGTCGACTGAGGGTGACATCAACGCCTACCTTCGGGCCAGGTGGGCAAGACTCACCTACGAAGACGCCGTGCAATACGGCTCACTTCCTGAGCACGAACGTACTCCCCTGCCCACTCGCGGGGCTCTCAAGGCGTCCTGTTACGATCAGCCGCCACAACGGGACTCAGGAGAGTCAGGCGCAGGTGCATCAGACGCAGTGCGACATCCCAGCTGCAAGACGTACGCTGGTAGGTCATGGCCTGTTCCGAGAGCTAAGAGTGGCTGGTTTCACTGCATCAAGTGCTTACCCAACCAGTTCCCAGCGTGCAACCACTGCGGGCCTAGCACGCACGATGGCTGTTGGCGCAGCGCCAAGATGTGCACAGCAGGCGAAGGATGTCAGTGCCAGTCTTGAAAGATTAACTTCAATTTGCTCTCCAGCACGAAAATGACGCTTGGATTGCTTGGCTCGATCGTCGATCCAACGCGTATCCCAATAGTTTCCCCATGCCAGGTAGCAACACCGGTTAACTCTTGGCATGCACTGCCCTCAGACTGTTGCGTCTGTACAGGCCTCTTCAACCGCTGCCTTCGCACTTCGGAGGCTGAGTCTTGGATTGCTGTAAGTCTATTCAGGTTTCTCTGTTTGTGGGTCGCCCCCTTCGGCCTCCCCTTCTCCCCTGCATTCGCGCTGAGTCCTGCGCTCTCCGCTTGGTCAGTTTCGTTGGTCTGCGCTGAGAGGACTGTGTCATCAAGCAGGCAATTCGCATTTGAGCTTGACCGTTAGTTGTACTTGTCTCATTCTCTCTCTCTCTCTCTCTCGCCCTCTCTCTCTCTCTATCTCTCTCTCTCTCTCTCTCTTTGTCTATGTTTTTTTCTCTCTCTCTCTCTCTCTCTCTCTCTCTCTCCCTATAAATATATAGATGGTGTCAGCCATCTGATGCTCGGTGTCAGTATGTGATGTTTGATCTTACAGCATGCCCAGGCCTGTGTTCCAGTCGGGGGCATCCTGTGTGCCCGCTCCCCCCTCTTCAAGGCTCCCCCCTTCTTCCCCCCATTGAGCCTCTTTTCGTCATGTTCCCTGCCGCCTCCGAGCAACGGCTACTCGGCGGACAGGTTTGCCAATCATGGCACCCTGGGAGCGTGGTGTTTGCGTGCCAGGGCATTTTCTTTTGCGGAGTTGGGCGCCCTGGCGCGGACGGCCGAACGACCCCTGCAGCGGGACACCCTGGCCACACGGTCGCCGCGCGTTCAACGCTGGCGCCGCGCAAAAGCAGGCGCCGAACGGCGCCGCGCACGGTCGCGCGTGCCGAAGGCACAAGCGCATGCAGCGGGAAAGCCTGGAGCCTTCAGTGCAGATGCACGCTCCACCCGGTGCAGGCGCTTGCCCTCCCCCCACGGAGCGCCTGGCCTCGTGCCGCCCACGCTCGTGTAGCCCTGTCCGCCCAGGATGACTCGTGGCCTTTCCCTTCGCTCCGGCGCTGCCCCGATCTGTTGCACAGTTCCACCTCGTGAGGCTCAGTGCCGATTGGGGAGGGGGAAGGAGGAAGGGGGAAGGGGGAGGAGGAGGAGGAGGAGGAGGAGGAGGAGGAGGAGGAGGAGGAGGAGGAGGAGGAGGAGGAGGAGGAGGAAGAGGAGGAGTTCGTCCCTGCCTTGCAGGATAGATTGTGCCCAGCTGCGGGCTCCCTCGATGGCAGCGCGCGAGCTGGCCGCGGGTCGCCACGGCGTTGGCCTCAGCCCCTCTTGCCGGACTGCAGTGGCTGCGCCTGCCTCTGCTTCCCCTTCCCTCTCCACCCCCACTGGCCAAGAAAAGACACATCCCCAACCCCAAAATCGCGGATTCACAGAGGATCCGAAGATCGGCCAAAGGTTTCGGGGTATTGTTTTGCGTTCGTCGTTGTCACCTTGGTAAAACCCTAAGCCCCAAAATCTCCCTCCCCGAAGTCTCGAGGAGCCTGCGTGCTGCCTTGGCCCTCGCGTTTCTGGGATTGGGCGTCTGTCTTGGGTTTTGTGACCCATTGCCTCGTCCTCCGCCCCCAGCTTGGTTGGCGCACGTCCGCTCGGGCCTTCGAGCCTCCCATGCCTCCTCCTCCTCCTCCTCCTCCTCCTCCCTCGTCGGCTCAGTCCACAGGCTTCTTTCCTCTCTCTCTCTCTCTCTCTCTCTCTCAGCGGCCGCCTTACGGCCTCGGTACGTCGGCACACCCTTGGCCTTCTCACCAGCCTGGGTCAGGGGCGTTCGCCCGCAGGCCCGCTACTGCGTTGCCACCAGCAGACTTCCGCCCCTTACCGATGCCGATACCGATTACCCCCCGCGGGCCCCAGGGATGGCCCGATGAGGCCCTCCATGGCTCCTCCTCCTCCTCCTCCTCCCTCCTCTCCTCCTCCCTCCTCCTCTCCTCTCCTCCCTCCTCCCTCCTCCTCCTCCTCCTCCTCCTCCTCCTCCTCCTCCTCCTCCTCCTCCTCCTCTTCCTCCTTCTCCTCCTCCTCCTCTTCCTCCTCCTCCTCCTCCTCCTCCTCCTCCTCCTCCTCCTCCTGCTCCCAAAGATCTCTCTGTTTATCCTGCTTGCCCATTTTATCTCGCACTGTGTGTGTGTGTGTCTCTTCGTCCATTTTCCCGTCAGCTCCCATGGGCAACGTTTCTGCACAGGTTAGATTGGTGGGGGCTTTTTTTCTGTCGCAGCCGCAGGCGAAGGCGCCAGCGGCGAGTCGAGTCGGCTCGGACTACGAGCGGAGCTAACCCGCGCGCGCGCAGGTGAAAGCAGGACCTACCGCCGGGGGAGCAGCCGCGCGGGGGGTCGTGCTGCAACCGCCGAGGCTGACAAACAGCGCCGAGGGTGGGGACTGCAAGCTGCTGGGGGTCGGCGGGGACACGCGAAGCGTGAAGAATTCCGATCCACGTAGATGCCCGCATCTTTTTCAAGAACAGCCAGACCCAGAAAAGTCAAGGAGCCATAGTACCAGAACGACGCGGAGTCGTGGCACCAGGAAGCCGAACTCGGACAAGTTCTGGAAACACACAGACAGCGAAGGATCGTCGAACCAACAAGAACTCCTCCCCCCGTCCCCTGCCCCCCCTCCCGACCTTCCATCTGCTCCCCTCCCCTCGCCCTCTCCTCGCCACCTCCCCCCCTTCCACCCTCGTCTTCTCTCCTCTGTCCAATCTTGAGGCCGCGTTGGTCCCACCG